CTTAAAAATTTACATGTTAAGCTCCAAAAAAATATAAACAATGACATATAAATATAATATAACATACCAATTGTGGATCAGACTCTGTAAATATACATGTACCTCTGTCACTCACACCTATCTCACTTTGCTGTTAATTATGCTGTAAACTGTAATTTACAAACATCAGTGCAATACAAATAGAAACAGTGATTTCTATGAATAACTATAAGATAAGAACATATGCTGCCATCTTGAATTTTAACACTCAAGAACAAAACAAATTTATCAAAATAACTTTTATCAAATCCACAACTGTATTTAATTACTATAAGTCTTCATTTAGTTGACATTAGAACTTTTAAGAACAAATAAATAAAACATACAAATACCAATTCCTCAATCCAAATCCTTATTGATAATATAAAATCAACACATCTACATGTCACAATGACCAACAACTTCTTTAACACAAAGAATGACCTCAAGTGACCCTAACTTTAGGAGGGAAACGTTATGGTTGAGCAAATAGCAAGTGTGGTCAAGGGGACATAATCACACAAAAGTAAAGATTAAAATCAAATAAGGCCGACAGAGTTACCTTTCTTGGAAAATAGCAAAAACCTTAAAAATAGCACTTGGTTACATTTATATGAATGCATGCAGCTTTGAAACAGTTTTTACATATGAATATTTGGCAGCAATTTCACATGTAGCTCTTCGAAAAAAAATCACTTGAGCAAAAAAATTATATAGGCATAAAGTGATACCCCGTTCTGTCATCATCAGTTTTTGTTTTTTTTGGATGGTTTTTTGTGTCGCCTCTACGGAGTAGTGGCTCCGTAGTGGCGACATATAGGGATCACTTCTCCGTCGTCTGTCTGTCTGTCCGTTTGTCTGTCTGTCCGTCACAAAACTTGTCCAGACTACTCCTCATAAACTACTGGTGCAATTTCATCCAAACTTTACAGGAATGATCAGTGCCAAGTCTAGTTGTGCATATTGTCAGCATTTTCCGGTTCAATGATTTTTCTCAGAGTTATGGCCCTTTGATAAAAATGTGTTTTTTTCTGTGTGTTGCCAGATACACAAAAGCTTGTCCGGACTACTCCTCATAAACTACTGGTGCAATTTCATCCAAACTTTACAGGAATGAATCAGTACCAAGTCTAGTTGTGCATATTGTCAGCATCTTCCTGTTCAATGATTTTTGTCAGAGTTATGGCCCTTTAATAATTTTTATTTTTAAAGTTTGTCTGGACTACTTCTCTTATACGACTAATGCAATTTCAATAAAACTTTACAGGATTGATCTAAAGCTCAAGTCCTTGCGCATATTGCACGGGTTTTCTGGTAGAATGATTTTTGGCCGAGTTATGGCCCTTGATAAAAAGGTTTTTTTTCCTGTGTGTTGCCAGATACGCAAAACTGTGTCCGGTCTACTCCTCATTAACTACTGGTGCAATTTTATCCAAACTTTACAGGAATGATCAGTACCAAGTCTAGTTGTGCACTGTCCGTCTGTCACAAAATTTGACCCAACATGAAATTGTCCATCATGAGGCGACAAATGTGATTACTGATATTTTGTTCCAGTTATTTACAGATGTTTGTATGATTATTGGAATAAATACAGTTAAAGTACACTGATTTTCGTGTTATACACTACAATCCATTGTATTATCTTGAAATGTTTTCCATGATATATACATATATATTTATATATGGAATAACTATATGGTCTCAACCATGACTTCGTGGTTTTTAGCTCGACTATTTGAAAAATATGAGAGCTATTGTAGTAACCCAGCGTCCACTTCTGCGTTGGTTAAAGTTTATTTTAAAGTCAAATATCTCGATTATTGCTTGAGATATTCAATTGAAACTTACAATAGTTATTTATGGTAACAATGTACATCAGATTGACAAGTTGGATAACTCTGCCTACAATATTAAAACTTCACATGCATTTAGGGTCATAATTGTACATGTAGGTTACTGACCAAGATCCATAATTTTATCTAGCATTTAGGCTGATTTTTCTCCCCTATTTCAACTTAGAAATTAATGGTAAAGTTTTGCTTGTAAGCATGTTATCTCCATAACTACTGAAGGGTTTGTGCCTTTTTTGGGACAATTTTATGCATTCATGATAATAAAGCAGTGATTTACTTGATAAAACATCTTAATCCAAGCCTTTGTACCTTTTCGGTCAGTTTTATGTATTCATAGGTAAGCATTTTTTACTCAATGAACACCCTTTTGACAACTTTTTTCGAATAGTCGAGCTTACTGTCCTCGGACAGTTCTTGTGTTAGTATAATATAAACACCCTTGTGACAACTTTTTTCGAATAGTCGAGCCTTACTGTCCTCAGACAGTTCTTGTGTTAGTAAAATAATAACTGAACAAAAGTTTGAAGGAGTTATATTTCACAAGGTATGCAAACAATAGCTGTTTGGTAGGACAGCACACTCAACCCATTCTACAGATATAAGCATTGGAGAGAGTCCTAGCTAGTATGCTCGCAAATAAATGTATAAAATTTCAATTTATTTCAAAGCCAGATGTCTATGGAATACGAAAATATCTTGAAGCCATAGGCAATCTTTAACATATGGGTGCCTGATCGGGATCAAGTGTGCAAAGTTTTAATGTCATATGTCAATGGACTTCGGGAAAAATTGAGGTGATAGACGCCGACGTTCAGATGACTAGGATAATTCTATTTATTCTTATCGAATAATCGAGTAAAAATGTGTTTTCTGCTTTCAAGGCATCTGCTTGTAACAATAAACCACTATACAATCAACATAATGCGCCCCCAGCAGTGCTTTCAGCGCTTTGATTTTTGTATCTTTATCATGCGGTTATATTACTGGGAACTTGTTTGTTCTGTTAACAGGTATCATTGACCTTACCGGCAACAGTTTATCTGAAATGCTACCTCTAGATCAAGAATTGCGATCTGGAAACTCATCTTTCATTAGTAATACAAGTGTTGAGGAATGTAAACATCTTTGTAAATCTAAAAAAGGTTGCAGTGTTGCCAGTATTAATGAAGAGAAAAAATGTTATCACTTCATGGGTAGTGAACTTGGAATTTGGAAAAATACTAAGATTACAAGCGGCAGTCAGTGGTTTGTCAAGCTACAAAACAATGGTATGTCATTATTTCGTCATGAAATAATTTATCTTTTTTTTTCAACTGTGCAATATAAGTGTTTCATATGTCTGTGGCAATATTAGTATTCATGTGCATGTATTGTATTTTCTTAAAAAGATTAATTTATTGTTATTTTTCGAACAAAGGCCTCAGACAGAAAATGTTTGTAAAAGCGATTACCAATGTTATTTTTCTTTAAGGTTTAACACTAATATAAAAAGCATGAACTGTATAAATTGACTATATGATAAATTGAAAAAAAAGAGAAAGTGAAGAGAAATGACTCGATCAGAAAGTATAGTTTAATGATTTCTAGGTCATGTTCGATTATAGGTCACTTGGGTTTAAAAATGAGGTCACACAGCCCGAAAATAACAAAAAACCTGTTAAACACTTAAGAGGTTACTGTTTGATCCAAATATGCTGGAGATAGATCAGAAATGTTGTCGTGATGTTTTCTAGGTAAAGTTATATGGTTTATCTGGGGTCAAAAACTAGGTCATACAGCCCCAATATGGAAAAAATCTTGTTAACTGTCCAGATGCTAAGAGGGATGTTCAAATATGAATGTAACTAGCCTAGGACAATATCTCGTTTTTGACCACGTTTGCACGAATAATGTATACGTATCGCATCGATGGATGTGTAAGCTCTCAAGTGATGCAATACATGTGTGCATCAGTTCAGTCTAGCTTTGACAATTGCTCAATTTACACTATCTACTCTAAAAGGGATTTGAAAAGGTCTCTTTTCAGTTGACCAAATACGGTTCTTTATCAAGAACCGCTGTATTTTTGGTATACAGACGAAAGACATATTAAATGAAATATGTCGTGTTCATGGTTTTTATCTGTAACATGGTGATGTAAGAAGTTTAAAAGTTGTCTTGATTCAGTAAAATATGCATTCCATGCACACAGTCCTAAAACTGCAACTTCACCAAAAAACCGTTAAAATAGTAAAGGATTATGCGTTGGTGTCTCTGTAGGAGCCGCTTAAACAAATTTTCCGGTGTGATTTAAAATAAGAAGGAAATGTGCTAAATGGATACCCCATCTTACACAAGAGCAAAAACTTGCTCGGGTAAGAATTTTCAAACAATTGTTGAAACAGGTTCCTAATACAACAGCCGATTTTTCGCAATTATCATCACTGGCGATGAGACATGTGTTCACTTTTACTAAGGTAAAGTCCTTCATAAATTAAAAAATAACCGTCGACCAGCAACTGGTCTCCCTGTTGCCAAGGTCTTCCATGGCAATGCTTCGTCAAACAAAGTGGCTATTGTACAAAAATATCTAGAGCAGGAAAATGTTGTCGAGTTTCCTTACCCTCCTTATTCGCCATATCTTGCCTATTGTGATTTTTTCCTTTTTCCGAGGCTCACAAAACACCTTGATGGAAGAAAATAGCAAACGGGAAAAAAATCTCTGTTCGGCTATTTTCCAGTGTCTGAACGATAATGAGTGCATTTGGAAGGACTAAGACTAATTATTTTGGGACATTTTGTTAAGCACTTCTAAAAAGTGACTCAGCTGTATTCATATTTGAACCACCCTCATACTGTTTGTTTATCCAAATATACCGGAAATTGGTCATAAAGGTTGTTTTTGTTATAGGTCAAGTATGACTTTGGGTATTTTATGAGAAGTACGAGGGTTGTTCAAAAGGTAACATGACTAAGGGTCTTGCATCTTCATATTCTATTAATTTATAAAGGTGCATGTGTACAGCAATCTTAAAATGGTTTCTACAATATGAGCATCTGTTTATCAAATCGTTGTCATAAACGCCTGTTCCCTGTGATATTGAATAACCAAAGTAACATTCACACGATTCAGAATCAAAACAAAAACAGAAATAGTAAGTAGAGGAGTCATGGCATCAGACAATTATTTGAAAGTACGCCCAAACATTAAACCTTGCACAAAATGTGACTAGGTTTAGGTCTCACACCTGTCATTTTACACTAGGTCAACGCGCCCGCTCAAGGTGCCAATTCAGCAATGTTTGAGAACAGTGTTTTAGAATTTAAATCTCTAGTTCACTCTCTTTATGATCTAGCCCCGAGTGTTTTCATTACTACTCTTTATGATCTAGCCCGAGTGTTTCCATTACTAAAGCGTCAACTAACGAACAACGATTTTAAATAAAATGTGTACCAGCTCCTTGTTGCTTTAATTCCTAAGTAAATTTTCTAGAAGTGGATCTCCAAGCAGAAAATGCATGACCTTTTGGCTACATCGAAATGTTTGCGCAGCTTTAATGATAATACATTATCTTGTTATGTTATATGACAGCGTGCTGCGGGGTATGTTGATAAACTACATAAATACGTAACATGTCTGATTGATTTATATTTTCTTTTTATACTTAGTAATAAATTAACTTTATTTGTTTGCACATAAATTAATTTGATACTGTACAACGTCGTTACTACTTCCCATTATACCAGTCTACTTACTTATCTTACATCCTTTGTATGTGAGATAACCCGACAAAAGCATGGCAGGTTGCGTTCCCCTGAAGGCACCCTCCTTCAGAAGTTTTTTTCGTCAATCTTTTGCTATTTGGTATTAAATTATATATTCTGATTGCCAATGACAGGCAATATACGAATATAAATTACCAAATCAATTCACGTGTATATATATAACAAAAAAGCGATAATAATATAAGCATGTTTTCTTCTAATATATTAATTTGCATTCTTTGAATATGTAAAGTTGCATTTCTACCCGGCTCAAACGATACAAAAGATGAGAGGATATTTTCTTTGGAAACATGTTAAGGATAAATAGTTTACGCAATAAGGATGCGTGAACTGGAAATTCTGGGGATAAACAATGCTTGCACTTGAAATACCACGCTTCAAGTTTACTGGAGTAGAAAAAGAAAATTTGAAATAAACTTTATAATTTAATAAAAACAATTTTATGAATTTGCATTGCTAATTTTCAACGGTAAATTTACTATTCCATATAAATATTACAACAACGTAACTCGAGGCATAACAAGTTTGTTCAAGGATTTCGAAGGCTGCATATCATCACGATAGGAAAAATGGTTATAAGCTGAAAATAATTCAAAACAGAAATTATATAAAATTACTCAGCATGGTTGTACGCAAGGTTTAACAACCATCGAGTATGCCAAATAGCCTTGTGTTACAGTGCTCAAAAACTCTCGTTTATAATTCGCTCAATATTGCATTCGATTGAAGCATAAAGATTTCACCATATTTAAATTGAATTGATGACATCATTTTAACATTTTTGCTTCACGCAAAATTGCATTTCAATGCAGTGCTGTTTGTGGAAATCATACCAGGATTTTGATTTTGTTTCCGTATTTTTGATCATTTTAACAAGTGAATTATCTTATTGATATCAACATGTTTTCTTGTTAACACAGTATCTATGGTATCCTTTCCGAGGGCTTACCAGAAAGAATCGTTTTTTGGAAACGTACAGTACATAGATGGCGTCTCTATAATAACATCACTCAGTTACCCTCTAAAGGCAATTTTAGACAATGATATACTATGGCTGGTTAATTTTGCACCAGGACGGTTTGCCAAATTTGTTTTCACAAATGTTTCACTATCACAGGTATGCATTCTATTTTTTATCACTAACACATTAGGTACTAAAACCATTCCAATATAAGTTAGTAAATTCATTGTTATATAATTTTTAAGATTAACGGTGTTTTAGTTTATATTGGCTTCTTAACTAATTTTGAGCTTGTATCACTTTAAAGTCAATTTCGTTTTGTAAGTTAATATTTGAATACAACTAATCTGTTATTGAATATCGGGAAAATGTTAAATTACAATGTGTTGTCATGTAATTGACTTTACGTTAACACGGTGCTGTTCTTACAAAACTCTGCTGTCATGTAGCCCAATGTTTTATTTTTGGACTTTTAAAAGTTCTCAAATCCTACTGTAAATGAAAATTTGATTTGTTAGTTCATCTTACATGATTTTCATTACAACTTAATGCCGTGATGTTAGTATATTTTCTTAATGATAATTTACTGGTAAGTTAGTCGAATTATTTTGTGAAAGAATTGCTACGTTATATATTTTATTTTTACGCAGTGTGAACTCATTGTAAAAACATCGAAAGATGGTGACAAAGGATTCAGCATTGACACGCGGTACAACGATAATGAATTCGTATTAGAAACAGATAAAAACCTGTTGTTCTTATCAGCAATGCCAACGACAACAAGATTGACACCAAAGATAAAATTTCGGGCAATTGTAACTGCTGAGGGTAAATTTAATATTTCTTATTTTCTTTTTCGAAACAACTTGCAGTATTTTGCAAATTAACGGTATTCATAAATATAAATTTTACAAACTTTAAGACAATTTATTTCCAACGAACATTTTATATTTCTTTCAATGAGTAAGCAGACTGTATTTTCTGTAAAGTAATTTTGCATAAGTGGCACTAAATTTCTATCATTTCGTTACAGCATATACAAAATAAAATCATGTCATATAGAATGAAAGGAAAAGTTTGCAACCCGACAGGGAATAAAGAAACACATATTGATTTAATTTCAAATCAAACGAGGTGTTGCTCGCTACAGTTTTTTATTATCGGCTTTTAAATTTGACTTAAAGATACCTGTATCAATTACTTTTTTTTATAATGCAGGGTTAAAGAAAATTTGCTGCTCGAGTTTTAATTTTCATTCCAGGCCAATTTTAAACGTGCTGTACTTTATGTCTTGTTAATTTTTGAATTTTTATTCAGCGGATGCCTGTCTTTGAAACACTATTTATGCTAAAATTATTGATTTTGAGATAATCTGCAAAAAAAATAATCTTAAAATTTACCACTACTGGGCCTAAGCAATATTTTTTTCAATTTTCCCGTTTGGAGTTCTTTATGTAGGAACTTTTTTTCTAGTTTAGGTGATTTTGATATTTTGTCTATATTTTCTCACACTTTTGCTGAGGAAAAATAAAAAACAGTTATAGGTGACCTATTAGGATTCTGGCTCCTGGTATAAATATCAGAAGGCTGACAAAGTAATAATCTCATTTGCGAATACCGAGCATGGTCATACAGTGGCTTGATTAAACAGTCTGCAAAATTATAGACTTTGAAATTTCACATTTGAAATGATTTTAAACAGTATGAATCGGATATATAAATAATTTCTTGATAGATAAAAACATTGTTTTGAATCCAGTGATAAATTCTTTACATTGCAATTAATTATGCTGGTTGATTTGTGCCAGGTCTTATTTTCGGTCTGAGGGAGCACAAGAGAAAACACGCAAATGTGACCATGTGGCTACTTTGTCGTAATATACCTATGATATCTTCGTCTATCGTTCGTGCTTTTACTTCTTGCTCCGCGGGGCGCCAGACGAAATCACGAAAATGCGGAAAAACGACAAACTGATTACTGTGTCAAGTTTTCATGTTTTCGTCTTTCCAATGTAGTTAATATTAACATATAAAGACGGAAAACAATGCTTGAAATCTTAACTGCGTCGCATCCTACCAAATGTTAACAGACGCCGACATCTTGCAACGCAATTTTCTTATTTTTTAGTTTATGAGTCTTTTTTGGGGGAATGACTGAAAACCAGATATATGTTTAAGGCGTTCCACTATTTTCCATTTTTTCGGTTATTATAGTTGCTTGCACAACTTTTTTTGTAAAACAAAAGTTTTTAGCGTACTTAGCAACTCGAAGCGAGCGGAACGTTTTTAAAGTTTTGTGGGTACGGCTTTATCCATCGTTTTTTTTTTTCAAATCAATTATATACTTGTTTCAGACTTTACTTTATACTTCTAAATATGAATTTGCATCATTTACTAAAAATTCATTAAAAGGATATGTTTATTGTCCAAGAAAATAATGATCTGAACGAAAATGATACGGCGCAGTTGAAAAGAATTATGATACGACGCAGTTGTAAATTCATTGTAAGCTGAATATTGGTTCAGCTGTTTAATCATGCGCTAAGTAAGCTAGTTAAAACATTTATTGTTTTCGAATAGTTTATCATTATGAATGCGCACAAGTGATTTTGTATACAACTTAAGTTAATAGGTCACTCACTGGTTCCACGAAAATTGAAAATGTAATTAAAATTCAATTAAGGCTTCATTTTTTTCGGTCTGATTATAAGCACCTATAATAAGCATGTACAATTAAGAAAAAAGGTGTAGCAAATGCTAAATACAATAAAAACACGTTATTGCACACCTATATGACAACGTGTACTAGTGTTGCCTTATCATGCCTGTAAACTTGTTCTTGTGAGTTTGAATCTAATTGGGGAGGTTACTTTTTTATTTGCAGTTTTTTGATACAAATCTTCAATTTTCCAAAGAAACCTCTCCTTGACGCAGTATTAACTTTTGTTTAAGAAAAAGAAAAAAAATACAATTTTTGAAAACGCATCTAGCTATCGGTAGAGATGTATCTGCAAATTGCATGTCTACCTTTGTTATTATGAACAACAATCTCCGACAATTCCCTTATTACTTAGGTCCTTAACGCGCCGATTATATTGTATTCATTTTCCTTTATAATCGGTGAGAGCATATGAAACTTAAATCGGTATTTGAAATAAAGTATTATCTATCTCTAAAATGAACATTTATTTTTAATATTATATTATAAAGTTTAGCTATGATATTTTTGCAAGTAAGGTATACGTTTACCACTGCTTTTGCCTTTTTGCATTTCTTTACCGCCGATAAGAACAGACGGAAATTTTTTTCTGAAAAATTAATTAGATATTTGAAATATAGTATGATTCATTTCCATAATTAACTTAATATAAATGATAAAAAACAAACTATTTTAAAAAGTAGGTGTACGTTTTGAAAAGGCATTTTACGCTTGGCACCTTTAACCTTGATGCAGGTAAATGTAAGGCATGAATTGTTTCAATAGTATTGTATAATATTTTCAAAGATTTAGGTCAGATTATCGCATTGAGTTTTCCATAGACTTAAATTAAATACATTCCTTAAATTTGAGCATTGATACTAACGTGTGATTGTTCTTTGATAATGAAGTGCCTGACACATAATTTTTTTTCAGAAAATGACTTTCAAGCACAAGTGATTATTCAGTAAAATAGATATATATTGTTGCGTCCCGTGCGGATGGCTCTTTAATAACTGCTGTAGACTGTTATATGTTTTATTACTTAAGGCCGCTTCTCTATGCAATCTGTTCATGTACATTTGTATAATAAGTCAGCTTTATAACAGCCTTGTGTTATTTTGCTTATGCAATTATAATAATTCACACCGCAGACATAGACATATGCTGTATCATATATGCATTATTTAAATATGCCTACTTTGAATAATGCTTGATAATCAGACACATACAGACAGGATGCGATCACAAACAAATGCTTATTAATAAAGCACTTAAAATTTATAAGCCTATTCAAGACTCATTTGCTGGTACCACTGAAGCAACTTTCAGCTTTTATGCGACTCAGAAAAACGGACTGACGGACATCAGACGACACATTTTGGACTCCACAGTAAATTAAATGACTTCATGGAATTATAAGTAGAATAAACAAACAACGTAAGAATGTTCAAGTTTAACTATTTAAATTTATTTGTGTAAGCCCTTAACAATCAATCTTGCGTAAAATCCAACAACAATATGAAATATCTCGAATTTCAAAATACGATCGTGCTTACAAAATTAACATTAAGATATGACTCAGATCGGGACTTGCGCTTGTGTTATAAACAATAAATAAACAGATATAGAAATATTAATACTTAAACTTTAAAATTGAAATAGTTAAACAAAATAGAGTTAATTTAACTCTCTTCTAATATAGATTCTAATTCACCTAGGAAATATACGCGAATTACTATTGCAAAAATTTTCCGGCATAGAATATTGACTTAAGTTTTAGTTCTGACAATAGTTCTAATGTAAAAATAAAATAATTATTAAATTCTTTTTAAAGCTTCTTTAAGTAAATTTTGAACTGAAAAAAATAAAATAGAATTACTTTTCAATGTAAAATAATATTTTACTCTAATGAATACTGAAGTTTTCAGTTGCGGAGTCCTCGCTGCTAACAAAAATCTGTCGTTTATATACAATGTACGTATTGCTAACAGTTTGCTAACGGTTTGCTAACAATATTTGAAACTAGTGAAGTTCTAACAAAATGCTAACAAAGGGGCATCGGAAGGGTTGCTAACAGTGCTAACACTGCTAACGGATAATAAAGTACGAGTTAAAATCATACAAAGCGCCATCAATTAAATTGACAGATCTAATATCAAAAACAATAAGAATACACAATAACGAGGGATTGGCAAATGTGATGCAAAAATAAACAAACAAATTATTACTTTCGTATGCATAATTTAACGCTCCCATAGGTAACCTCACTTGATAAATCGAAATAAAACATGACGTAGTAATTACATGACGTCATCAAATCGTGCATAACCAACATGGCTGACAATAAACACTTCCGGGTTTTAGTAAACAGTAAAATTGCCGATATTAGCTTAGCTTAAAATAAATTTACATTGACAATCAATAGTATATAACCTTTTTACAACATATAAACCGTATATAACAGAAAATAAATATGCATAGGTTAACTCGAAGGTAAGTAAGGTCGGTGAAATGCGGTGCATCACAATATATTGCAAGAAATATCCCTGCTGAAAAGGCTACTAAAAACACAACTGCATCGTATCATATCGTATAACTCATTTTTGTCTTGGAAAATAAACATAATTATTATTTAATAAAGTTTAGTGAATGATGCAAAATTATATTTTGAAGTTTATTGTAAACTCTAAAACGAGTAAACAATAGATTAGAAATGAAAACAACGATGGATAAAGCAATATGAACTACGCGGTACCCACAAAATTTCATAAAATTTCTGGTCGACTTCGAGTTGCGAGTTCGCTATAACTTTTGTTTTACAAACATAGTTGTGAAAGCAGCATACACCGAACGAAATGGAAAACAGTCAAGTGTTTTTATACATATATCTGGTTTTCAATCATTATCTACAAAAAGAGTTATAAACAAAACATACATTTTTGTTCTAACATGGCGGCGTTTGTTTACATTTGGTAAGATACGACGCAGTTCTGATTCCCAGTCTTGAAAAAAAAAATACTGTTTAATATACTACCTACTTAGGTACAAAATGATCCGTCAACTGTTTCCTGGTCGAAATCTATTTATCAGTATAAATGTTTTTATTCAAATTAAATTGAAATATGACATTATATATTTTACCATATAAACTAAACAAAAAAAATATTTTTATTTATTATCTTCCAGACACTCCAGCCTGCTTTTCACTAGATTTAAATGGACTCTCTAATATAAGACAAGAACTGTGCAATAAACCAAGTATGTTTCTTACATCCCTTTCTTATTTATATCATCCGTTAAAGTCGGAAGAGTTTGCAATTCAAGCCGGAAAACATCAAACCATTGACATCACCTTCATCGATTTCTGCATTGCGTGTTTTAGATATGAAGGGTCCGGTAAGTTCATTCTAATATACAAATCTATGTTGTTGTTGTCATTGTTTTTATTTTGTATAAATGAATATAGATGGGGTTTTGTGTAAAGTAAATGTATATTGTTAACACAGTAACTGTTTATGTCCAATTTGTCCCTTATTCTTAACTTAATACAACAGTAATTACATGTTTGAATATTTATATATTTTCTGTCTAAGCTTTGCAAAAGATGGCAATATACCAAAATTCTTTACTGGTATCTACAGTCCTGTGCGTCCTATTGTATAAGACTATTTGAATATTACTCCTTTAGTTTTCTCTATCTCGAAGTCAAGTGGTAGCCTAATATGTATTTTCTTTGGTCCATTTTATAAACAGTACAATTTGTAGTTAATCCTCTAATAGCAGTTAAACTTTTTTGCGGAAACGAGTTCACTTTTGTTATCAATAAATGGCAAAACAGTTCTTAAGTCTGTTTCAATGATTACCAGTTAACGTTATTTCTTCTTCCTACCATATACAATTTTACTCCGTACAGTTTACATATGTAGGTCACATAAACTATATATAAAACTGACGAAGTAGTTGCTTATTGAGCACAAAGACTACTTGCAGGTTTGTAACGATCAGGTTGATTCTGAAAAGCTGCTTGCACCCTTTGCGCTTTTTTCAATATTTTCTGCGTAACGTTAGAAGAGGAACAAATGGCTATTTACGGAGATACTCTGCCCCTTTTATATATAATAAAATTTCCGATAAGGGTTATTTTGTGATAAGTCAATTGCACCTTCACTTCTTTGAGTTTTAGCCAAATATCGAGCTTCATTTCCAACAAAAGTTTATTGTAATGAAACGAGTTTCATGATTAACGATGAAAAAGTCATATTTATGCAAGACAGTCGCCTTTTTGGTGGCTTTTATCTGTATCGATTGTTTTACTTTCTTCCATACAATTGAAGATTGCCATAATGCATAGATCCTGACTGTACATCAAGGGACAACACAGACACTTTGTCAAAATCTAGGCCAGTTGATATCACAGTAGTTTAACATCTTAATCTGTGCACATGGTTCAAATTTCATAGTTGCACATCAAAGGACAAGAAAGTAGGCCACATCATCAAAATCTAGGTCACCTGATATCAAAGTTTAATTTTACAACTTAAACTGTGCATATAGTCCAAATTTCATGGCTGAACATCAAATGCCAAGAAAGTAGGTCACTGTCTCCTTGGGCAAGGAACAATTTTTACCCAAGAGTTTAATTCAAACAATCTTGATACAGGTCCACGTCCACCGAATAACATTTTATGTCAAATATCTAAGCTGTAGCTTTCTCCAATTCGGAAAATATTTGTTCTAGTTTCTGTTTTTACAAAGTGAACATAATGAAAATCAATACCCCCGGGCAGGGCCAATTTAAACACCAGGGGCAAAATGTGAACAGCTTTGGTAGAGGAACTTTAGATGATATTATAGCAAACATCAAAACTCTAAGCCTTGTTCGTTCAGACAATTATATTTTTAATGTTTCACTATATGTACATACTGAAAATCAATGACCCCTAGGAGAGCCCAATTTTGACACCAGGGCTATAATTTGAACAATCTTGGAAGAGGTTTACTACACAACGTCTAATTCCAAACATCTCACCTCTTGCCTTTGTCACTTCACTTCAAGTTTTTACTATAAACATATTAGGAAAACTATCGCCTCGGGGGCAGGATGATTTTAACACTAGGGGCATACTTTAAATAACTTTAGTAAAGGACCCTTAGATCATATTATATACAAAATATCAAAGCTCTAAGCCTTGTACATAGTAAATGAAAACCAATGACCCCCTTGGCGGGCCGATTTTGACCACAGGGCTTTAATTTAAACAATTTTGCTTAAGGATCACTACACAATGGTTTCTGCAAAATATCTATCCTTTAGTATTTGTCATTTTAGAGAAGATGATTAGAGAAGATGGACGAACGGAAGACTTTTAAGTCTTATTATCAAATTTGCCAGGAATCTTTCCCTTTCCTAGGAACTGTCTTTTCTATAGTACAACTAAAAAATTATTCTCTGTGAGCTACTCTATATTTTTCATTTCTTTATTCTGAACATAAAATATATCAGAGGTAGTGTCTTAACCGAATACGTTTCTGGATAGTAAGACCCCCCGCCCCCAACTCCCATACGAATGCCAGAAAATATAGTATGTTCATGTGTTATTTTAGTTCCACTTCTCAATTCCATAAAACAAGTATCTCAACAAGAACACAAATATATAGTATTATACGTACATGTTTTGTGTCGCTTAGACAATCAAAAAAACATACGGGTGACTTATTGTGAATGAATATTAAATGGTTATCTTGTACTTAAACAGGAATCTTTATGTCGATGTGACCTTTGAAAATGCATTTTCGCCAAAAAATGAGGGCCTTTACCCGATTAGGGATATAGTTTTATCAAGATTATAGGCTAAATTGCTTAAATTGTTCTTTTACATTTAAGGTCACTTGGACATTGACTTTTGTGCATCGACGCCTAAAACAATAGAGGTCTTTTACATTATCAAGTGTTAACTCTATGAATATTGAGACTTTGGGTCACATGGGTCGCTGAATATTAAGCATAAATGGTTTTTACAATCAAGGTGCTCACCTTTAGCCTGGCTTTTACATGTCTTCGTTAAAACAAAAAGAGTCTGTTTCTTAATGATGGTGATCATCATATTCATAGTCTCTTTCCTAATTGTGAGAATTTTGTTACTATAGTAACCATAATAATTGTTAGAAATTTGCTTGGTGGGGATTCATTTTATTTAATTTATAACAGAAACACGTTGGTTTTAAAAGTAAGGTTTGGTGCACCATTAAGCGGTTCAACACGCCGCGATTCAATCGTCATCAATCTTTGTCAGGATGCTTATCTAGTTAATAGCTCGGATAAGTTCGAACATGGTTCATTTTGGATGAAAAACTAGGTCACCGGAGCAAAAAATAGAAAAATCTTTTTAACACTCTAGTGGCTACTGTTTTGATCCAAGTATCCTTGAAATTGGTCTGAAAGTTTGTTTTGATGACTTCTAGGTCAAGTTCGAATATAGGTCACCTGGGTAAAAAACTAGGTCACACTGCTCAAATATGGATAATCCTTGTTAACACTCTAGTGGTCACATTTTTGACTCACCTGTCATGTAACTTTGTCAGAATGCTTGTCTAGGTAATTGTTCGGATGAGTTCGATGGGTCAGGTGAGCGATCTAGGGCCATCAATTGTTATTCAATTCTGTCCAACCCAACCCTCTCCCCTGGCCATCTGGTCCCTTTAACTACGTTATTGTCATTTTGTTGACCTTTAAATCAATTATCTTCATTGCGATTTCTATGATTACCTATTTTGAACTATTCATTATAGCATCCCGTCAGTACTTTGCCCTTGTGTCCTTATCTGCTTTATGTTGATCCGCTTCTGGCGGTGGTCCTTTGTTTCTATGTTGTGTTTCGGGATGAGTTCATTGAATGCCAATCGTCCTTGTTTATATTTAGCTTCATATTATGATAGCATTGAACTCGTCCAATAGAATTAACAATGTATAGTCACTTCATTAAATAAAACCAGTGTTTGCTATTTCTAATTAACCTGCTTTGAAACAGTTTTATAAGTATACTAGGAAGCAACTGAAGATGCTAAATATTAATGTATCTTTTTTTCCGTAACCGAATTGTTTTATATAATTATATCTGCTTATGGCAGATGCCTTGGGTACTAAATAAGCATTAATTTATTTATTATCAGCAGATTCAATACTTTATAAATAACAAATGGCTGTCGGGTGATAGAGGATATTGTCAACCCGAGGACTGGTAATATGCCAGTTCAAAGGTTGGCAATATCCTCTATCACCCATGTGTAATTTACTTTATTATACCGAAAGGTATTGTAACAAAGTCTAGTGAAACTTTACAAAATGCTTAACATGGAGTTAATTTGCAAGAATTATGTGCCCCAGGTGATATAAGAAATATTCCCCGTGGAATTTATCCTAGGAGGCTTATATTCAATTAGGCCTATTTGAGTTTTTCATTGAAAGATATATTAAGTATAATAATTTAAATATTGAGATGTAAAGATTATTCACATACATCTTTTTGTGCACACTCACGGATTTTAATTTTTATCAACCGTACTCGTACAATAATATATGCAAAAAAATATAATTAAATAAAGGCACGCCTCAGCCACAAGGGAGATAATAAATTAATTAATTTTGCAAACATGAATATAGAAGAATTTCATTCTTAGTAAATGTATATACATCAATAAATTTACATCAACAAAATTACACGAAAGGGGTGGGCCATAAGTTTTGACAGCATTATCGTGGGCCCTTCCTTGTAAATGTTAAACATCAGTTTCATAAGATAAAGATAGTTTTACGTTCAAGGGGCTGCCTTTAAGTGTTGTAGCCACAGTTTATCCATGTCTGATCGTAAGAAAAGAAAGGAATAAATTGGTTCAATTTCCTTGAGTCTTTGCAACACCTAGCTCCAGCAGGTGAAGACGTTTTGACCCCGGGCCTGGTTTTGTTTAAGGTTTGTAACTGCCGACGTGTGCCAAAATTATGCTTCCTGCTTTGGCGCGATATGACCTAAGTTGTGTTGGTTCTCTATTAAACCCATCAAAACAAAAAAATCTAAAAGATAGTATTTTATTGCATTAAAAAAGGATTAACAGAAATAAAATCAAACTTCTGGATAGAAGACCGTGGTGAAAACGCCTACATTTGCTCTACGTATCAACCGCCACAGACATACAAATCAACAGGTTCAAAGATTCATTTGCATTACAAACCTGTTAGAGATGAAAAAATAAGTTATATTGGCAAAAGAGTAGAGGACATTGAAGGATTTCGGCTGCAATATAAAATATCAGAGCATTCGTTTGTAAAGTATACTACTGAGGTGAAGGGAATTGATTCAACAGATTTAGCAGGTACATATTTCAATATTTAGCGAATATAAAGCAACGAACATTGTTTTAACTGTAAACGAAGTATATTTTGTCAATGGACATTTTTATGTGATAAATGCGTATTATTTTTCGTTTGACTGATTGACTTTACACATGTATTAAAATGTTTGACTATTATACTTGTCATTAACAATGATTTATTATGAAAATGTTAAGGATAAAATATAACAACTGCCTAAAATATATTTTATAAATTGAACTCCGTGAGTCACTTGGGAGTTTGATTATGCACATAGACTAGACGATAGAATTGAATGCAAGTGCGGCAAAAATCTAAAATTATTTTGACCATTTACATTTGGATGGGCATAATGCCACTTTAATGCCAAATTTTATTTTGAAAAAGGATTCTATTATTTCCTAAGTCTAAAGTAGAGTATACGATGTTTAAAGGTGAACACTTTTTTACAGGTAAGTATTCATAATTTATCCAGGAAACAGCGTTTAATGCATGATATATATTTTCCAAGGAAACAATAAATGAATTCTACTGTTTCTATCTTTAGCTTGTGTAAGGTTTTTCAAAAAGTGCTACTCCATATCATCTGAAAAAGTTTCATGGAATAATGCCAGCAATAAATGCCTTGAGCGCAATGAACATCTTGTCACTATAACATCCAAAAAAGAAATGACCTACATCCAGTACTTACTTCGCAGTCAGATATATAAACAACGTGCGATGCTGAAGCGTGGAGTAGATGAACATATTAATCCTGGAGCATATATTGGTAAATCTTTATTCACAAAATGTAATGTTATTGAAATAATTTAAGCATTACTTTAATTTTGATTTAAATATTTCACTAAGAGGGGTGATTTTGAGTTAATGGCATTTAACATGTTAACAAGTTTTCACACTTTTAATCAGTAATTTACTATATTCTCAACATACTGCGCTTGATTTGCATGTACACGGGATAATTTTTTAAAACCACGAAGAAAGATTTAAGATTTGTTGAATTACCCTGAAATAGTTATACATGTACTAAAACGACACTGAAAGACTCTCAAGCCGACTATATCACGAGATATATAGTTTTTTCAAGAGACTTAGAATTTCAATTCTTTGTCCCTCGTATTGGTGTTTGTCCGTGCGGCTGTTCTTTCAAACGTGTTTTATGTCCCTCCATCACGAAATTTTCATCACGAGATAAATAAGGTATATAACCTAAACTTTTAAGGCAAAAGTGTTTTTATTGGAATTTTGGTGTTGTATTTTTCGCTTTCAGTTATGAAGTACCTGTATCTTTTACATGTTTCTTTTACATAAATAACATGTTTTTTTTAGCACTGCTTAGTATGACACAAAGGAGAAATTCCAAACGATTACACCGTTAATTTAACGGGGGGGGGGGACTGTAACACGAGGGATTGAATTCTTATCATTACTTGTCGGATTTATAACAGCAACTAACATATTTATTCTCAATTTTTAAAATGTCCCTGAGTTCTGGTGCTAACTCTGAACATGACCTTGTGTTTTTATGAAAACTTTTGTTACTGCCAGTGTGTTTCTTGTGCTAAATCATTGCAAGTTTTAGCGTTAATTTATTATGCAATAAGGTTGTAAATCATTATGAAATGCAATATGCTTATCCTTTGCACAAAAAATGAGGATATATAATATTGGTTTAATAATATTTAAAAAATCGGGTACAAATTTGATAGCCGCCGATTAGGTAATTTTGTATGGCAAGGATGAATACCACATATAAACAGGCTAATACATGCAAACTGGCAAAAAATTTGAAAATTTTACTCAAAACTACCAGATCTTAAGCAAGAGGCGATGAAAAATGGTCTTAGAATTAGTTTTTTACTCATAATACAAGATGTACGGCAAGTTTCATCATTAAAGTTTAATATAGCACATAAAACTCGCTCTTTAAAGATAAAAAATACTATTTTGGATTAGTGTTTGTGTGGTATATACGAAAGTTTTCCGACGAACTACGTGACAAGAACTCCTGACAAGTTACTATAATAACTCAATCCTTCGTGTAAAAGGTCCTCCTCCGTCCTTTGGAAACCAAATTTAATCACTGACAATGTCACGACAGGCTCCGAGAATTGTTGCTTTTGATAAGATGTAAAAAACGCTGCTCAGACGAGCGCCCATATATTTTTAGTTATACCTGACATTGAAGCAGAAGGCAATATGCAAAGCATATGATCCGGCCCATCTACAAAAAAGTCAGACAAATGGATACCCTGACGATGTTAAACTTAAATATTCAAAGAAATTTTCACACGTGGAAAAATCATTCATAACTCTTTGTCCTTTTTCAGTCTGTTAGTCCAGCGGCCGTCTCGATACAGACCGTCAAGGTGTTGAATCGATAATTAAATTAATACCATTTCATTTTGGAACCTATAATATTTATGTGGTTACATCTCATTTTAAAAAATGTGCTTTGCTTAACACTTATTACTCTGTTCCGCACATTTTGGAAATATTTTAACTTTTTTAAATGTTAACTTCTGTTTAAAAGTAAATTTGACATTGCTCTCCTCCTCTGTACGTAGAGTTTGACACTTAAGAATGTAGGTTCCAAACTTATGTCAGCACTGATTATTCATGTTTTAAACAATTTACAAAGTTTTAGCTCCATTCAAGTGAAAATATTTTGACATCTAAAGCAAGGTTCCGAGATTTTTTGATCTTGTTCTACATCAAAACCATAAACAAACATTTCTGTGGTAACAATTCAGGTAAAAATGTAAAAGTGAAGCAAATTGTAAATAAAGAACTTGATAAACAGATTAATGTAAGGGTATTAAAATGACAGGAAGTGTCAAGTTTGAAAAACGTAAACCATGTACGTATCATTTCAACGCCACTTGGGTTAACACTACGCCAAATAGTGGTGCTGCAACTGAAGCATTTATCGATACTGATTGATCCAATTTTACATCTTGCTCATATCAACTCCTTCTCTTGAATCATGGTGAAAATGGTCAAATTAATTTTTTAGCTCGACTTTTTTTTTAAAGTAGAGGTATTGTGATAGTCGCGGCGGCGTTGCCGTTGCAGTCCGGAAATATGTACCTGGATCATAACTTTTTTTTAGTTCTTGGTGTATTGTCTTCATACTTGGCCACAACAACCCTTTGGACAAGACCTTTCAGTAGAACGCACTGACCTTGACCTTTATCCATAAATGACCTTGACCTTCAAGGTCAAATGTCCAAACTTTGCTTAATCTTGCTATTATTGGCTGTTACTTTGTAATTTTTGAATGGATTGTCTTCAAACTTGAACATAAAAATCTTCATGGACATTCCTTAAATATATCTAGACAGACCTTGACCTTTACGCATAAATGATCTTGATTTTGAAGGTCAAATTATTGAAATTTTTATTTTCTTTGGCTATTATTGGCTGTTACTTTGTTATTTTTAAATGGATCGTCTTCAAACTTGAAAATAATGATCTTCAAGGATAACCCTTAAAAAATTACCAGACAGACCTTGACCTTCACTCATAAATGACCTTGACTCTGAAGGTCAAATTATTGAAATTTTCATTGTTTTGGTTGTAACTGGCTGCAACTTTGCTATTATTGAATAGATCAACTTCATATTATAATAGAACATTCTTAAGGACAAGACCTTGTTGTTTATCAAACCCAATTTGACTTGGGCTCTTTAATGACCTTTACCTTGAAGGTTAAATTACTTAACTTTCTCAGATTTGTGAATTAAATGACCATATATATTTATTGGTGTGTATATATGTCATCATCATCATCATCATTATCATCATCATCATCATCATCATCATCATCATCATCATCATCAACAACAACAACAACAACAACAACAAAAACAACAACAACATTGCGTGTATCTATTAATAGAATGCATTGCTATATCTATTTATAGTACGCATTGCGTGTATCTATTTAAAGAATGCATTGCGTGTATCTATTTATAGAATGCATTGCGTGTATCTTTTTATAGAATGCATTGCGTGTATTTATTTATAGAACTCATCGCGTGTATCTATTTATAGAATGCTTTTCGTGTATCTATTTATAGAATATATTGCGTGTATCTATTTATAGAATGCATTGCGTGTTTCTATTTTTAGAATGCATTGTGTGCATCTATTTATAGAATGCATTGCGTGTATCTATTTATAGAATGCATTGCGTGTATCTATTTATAGAATGCATTGCGTGTTTCTATTTATATATTCAAAATATATAGACAAACCTAATGTGACAAGACAGACCGATTTAATTTATAAAAAGGAGCTGTTAAGATTTGTTAAAACATTTCTTTTTACAATTGGTAGGAATGTACCTTAGGTGGTCTACTTTTATTGTGGAGTTTGAAATCATAAGGTTCAATGTCAAAGACGTAAAATTGATTTAATGGTAATAAACTATTATTTATAAATTATTTTTATAAATTAAAAATAAAACGCTGAAACTGTGTTGTTTCACTCATTTTATAGTTGGCGCTCGCAAAAGTTTTTTTTAGATTATATTTTATAATGCCCATGAAAGTGAAATAAAATGTTTCGCCACAATATATCATATCGTAATTTAAAATAGTTCTTTTTTACAAATTAGCAATAATTTAAAATATGCATCATTTGCACACCTACATATCTTCCCGCACAGGCATTTTGAAATTACATGTATCCCTTTTCAAATTTCAAACCAAACCTTTGTTAAGTGCAGGCAGCATAGATATGTACATTGGAAATTGAAGGGGTTGATGACTTCGACAATAAGAACAAATCTTGAATATCTTGATAAAGTGATCCCCCTCGGAAATATATCATGAAAATTGCTTACTCGGGGTAGTTGCGTTTGTACATGAGGGATAATATCCCTCACGCCTATATATGAGGCCAAACATTCTATCCAAAAAGTATTACATTCTAACTCTTTAATATGAAAGATGTTTCTGTAAATTCATAGATATTGCCACGTAATTGTATAATATAGAAGCAGTGAAACAACCAAAGGGTGTATGCTGTCGCTTCAATTTCAAATTAAATTACCTCTAGAGAAATATATTAAGTAGTTTACGACATACACACAACAAATTTGTAAATTAAAAACATTTGAAAACATTATTTTATTATAACTATATTTATAAATCAAATAGAAATATATAATAGTTACTTTTAAATAATGCATATTTCTGATTTCTTAAGGTTTACGGCGAGTAAAAGAGGAACGGAGGACAAGTTTTTACTGGATTAATGATCTCCGCGTTACTTTCAGTGCTTGGTAATTATTTATTGTTATACTGAAAACAATTTTTGAACCAAATAAGTTTAAATATCAAACTTTTTATAAAATGTTTCACCCCAGACAAGCAAAGCATAAGCTAAAAGACATACGCTTGTAATGACAATCGTTTACCAACTGGATAAATAAATGCTGTTTACCTGTGAATTAACAACAGTGAACAATTCAAGTAATTGGTCCATAATCAATAAGAAAACAAGTTGAGAAAAAGTGCAGTTTGACCGGGACTCGAACCCAGCACCCTCAGAATACCGTACCGTGGCCCTACTGACTGAGCTATACGGCCACTTACACATCTTCTCCCCCGAAATAGTGAACATTTCTGAAGCGTGACATACTCCCCTGCTTTATTGAAATTCGTCCTCGAATTTCACAGACTTACAGAGCAATGTGAATTAAACTCAGAGCTGCATCCAGTCACGGTCCCACGTTGGGGGCCAAATGTCACAGGGGAGAAAAAATGTGCAGCCTGACTGGGACTCGAACCCGGAACCCTCGGAATACCGTACCGCGGTTCTACCGACTTAGCTTTCCGGCGGCTTACACATCTTCTCCCATAAACAGTGAACATTTCTGAACCATGACATGTTTGTGTCCCTTGATTTTACATCACTGACATATTTGTTTAAAAACTTTCTTCTGATTAAATGTATGGTCTTATATATTGCGGAGTATTCTGTGACAGATGACATAATTCCATATAAGACAAGATGTTGAAACCCCATTTTGAGCGTTGTTTCTTTTGTGTCTTTGTGCGCGTTTATGTGTGCGTGTGTGCATGCGTGTCTGTATGTGACAGTTTCTCTTGATAGTAATTTGTTATGCTAGTTCGTTATTACAAAATTTGATATATGTGATAATTGCCAGATCGTATCTCAGTCAATTGCTGATATGATATGATTAAATTAATTGAGAATTGATTTTGATTTGTAGGGGAAGCGGACAACCTGCAACTGGAGATTGTACTTATATGTCATTCGAGATTTTCAACAGCGAAAAAATTTGGTCGACAGTAGATTGTTTTGATGATTTGGTCGATTTTTTCATCTGCGAGAAACCATATTCCGAAGATGAGATTCAAGCAAAAAGTAAAATTTATAATATTGTTTCAAATATGAATACCAACTAAGTATTTTTTTTTAAAGAGACTAAATAAATCACAGTGTAATAAAATTCTTAATAATTAAATGTCTAGTACCGTTTATTAGTAAACTTGCTTTTGTGAATATTGTGATATTTTCAGAATATGTTTTCTGTTCTTGCAAGTCTAAAACTTTTGTTTCATATGTAAACAGTGTTTGATTAGATTGTCACGTCGTTTATTTAAGTTAATCTCAACAAATTGTCAGTGCAACAAGAATGTTTTAATGTTACCTTTTTTGAAAAAAGCTCTTTCAAAATTCATATACATCGTCCACTGTACAAGTGATTTAAACGAAAGAACGAAAGAACTGATTTCGTCGTTTCTACTAACTGAATATGTGAAGATATTCACCCAAACTTTCTCTTCTCTCTTCTGTTATTGTGTCCAACATTAAAATATGTTGTGCAAGTGCAGAATCGTAAGATAAGTGTCAAACTGGTAAGGTTTGTGCCTATGTCAGTGCCAGTGTCAGTGCCTAGGGCTGAAAATGTGATCCGTGACGTCATCCAGGTAGTATAAAAATAGCGACTTCTACCAAAGATTGGCTACATTTTTAGGTTAACATTATTATTACTACATGAAAAGTTATAACAATACTGGTAAGGGTTTAGTTTTACATTTTATGTCAGCGCTTAGTTATGAAAAGTTAAAACATTACTGTGAAAGAGAATAAACCACACAGGTATCGGATTACTCTTTGTTGGAGGTCGTGCACCTTGTGCATGTCAGATAATCTTAAATTCCAATGATGTTTTAATGATTTTTAAATGTAATACTATTATGACATTAAATAATTATTCATTTTAGCTGATATCAAGGAAAATGAATGTACAAGTGTATATAGGAAAGAAGACTTTATTGTCTCTCCATACTCTGGTAAAACATGCAAAAATTGGGGAAACCTGTCTGGCGAAGCTAAAGTTGATTTTGACACGAAGTTTTCGTCTTTGAGCATTTCTTTAAACGATTCGACTCTATGTATAGATTTACTTTCAAATGGTATTCCTTGGTGTTACGTTAATGACCCGGGCAAATCTTTGTGGGAGCCGTGCTTTTTGTTTTTAAATGGTAAGTTATTTATTTTTGATTTGATTATCATAAAAAGACAAAGGAAAACTGAGTTGATTCTTTTCTAACAAAATATATCATTACATAATGAGAGTAGAAAATATTTTTTTATCCGGAACTATACTAATAATATTCACTTGAATATACAACAACAGCAGCACAAAAGGAAAATACAAAATACGAGTTTCAGTTTAGCGGCATTATTATAGTTCTATGCCGATATGAAATAAAAATCTTTTCTTTCTTTCTTTTCGAAGACAATCAGAAATGCTTTAATTTAATTTTTCAAATTATTTATTTTCCTAAATTACACATTTTTTCTATCGAATTAAAAAAAAAATAAAGGCAAAGGTAACACCCTTTTCCCCGAAAAGGGGTTGTCTGGAATGAACTGTTCTGATGGATCGTCAATACCGAAAGTGAACTGGTGCGATAGGAATTTTGACTGCTTAGACTATACGGATGAATTGTCATGCCTGAATGATATAACAGGTTTGTATATTATTGAATATTATCTAAGTATTAGTGAAGTATTTCTTTATATTTACATGTAGTGTCTTTGCTTTTGTAAGATGGAGTCAATAAAATATTAGTTTATGTGAATTAAAGAGGATGAGGCAGTCTCAAATATCGATGCAATAAACGTCTTACAGTTGACCAAGAAAAGATCAGTATATACTACTTTCGTTGACCATTTATATTGTTTTGTGCTTTCCTTTTTAATGACAGACAAATTCTGAAGAGCTTACATTTTACCAATCTCTTTGAAGCCTTCTTTCTTTTAATCAACAAATTCATTAACACAAGGGAATGCTGTAGTTTAATTAGTCATTCATAAAACTCGAATTCTAACAAGTGCCATTTTCTATCATATTGAGAAAAACCTTTTAATATAACTTTACATTTTTCATCTGTTCTTGTACACAACGTTTAGCCAATTGCGGTATCGGTATCATTGCATTAAGACTATAACAATCACCATTGTGAGATGAATGGCTTGCTTTTAACATCACACTTGCTGTAAGAATTTTCACAAAATGTATCCATAAGTTTTTGATAATTGTGTTGCGCCATCGGTCGTTGCCTGATTTTCAACTTTCTAATATCAATTTGGAGAGCTGCAAATACATATGAAACATGGCATGTATAGTTTCGATTAATAACGCAAAGAATTACTAATAATTTCCTACATACAAACAAGAAAGCAACATAGATATATCGAAGGTTCACGGTTTGTCTTATTTATAATTGTCACGGTAGCAATTGTTCAAATAAGTCATGTAGTAAGTTAATGCTAGAATTTCTTGATTAAGATTATTCAGTTATAGCGTATAAATGTTGGATGGCGAGAAAACATTAGAATGTCTCATTATACAAAAAACTACACCCTCTGTATTTGATAACATCTGAAGTAACGTGGTGGAACTACTTTCAATCTGTATTATCTCTAAGATGATTATGAATAATCGATGAGGTGTTACAAACAGGTAGCTTCCACGCTAGTGATGAAGATGACTTCACAAAATAAGTTCAAAATAACCAAAATACAAAAGGCACAAAACATTCGACACTCTTTTTTTTCTTTTCTTTTTTTTGTTCCTCTCATGTATATTTAAACATGGACGGTATCGTATCGGTCTATTCAACACATCAGATGTATTCATTATTAATATATATTTGATTTATTCGAACCACACGTCCCTTTAGTGAAAAAGCAAATGTGTTATCGAATAAACAATATTTATTATTTTGGAATCATACAAAGAGAACATCCTATAATGTTATTATTATATTCATGATTGTGTCTGAAAATATTGTTATGTTAATTGTTTAGATCACACTCTAACGAATACTGGCAAAACAATGATAAACACTCATTTACCAAACCGACTCAAACACGATGCGTTTTTCCGCTGTATAAAAAGCAAGGAGTGGATATCTTCATTAGCTAAATGTGATGACGTCATCGATTGTCTTGATGCCTCGGACGAAGTCATGTGTTTTCAGAGCAACAATGGTATTTCTTATGCTATTTAGTCACTTAAGCACTTTTCTCACTATTTATTCAATCTATTTTCTGTAATTTGTATTTTTCGTACTTCGTTTATTGTTATTTTAAAGTATATTATTCAAATTAACGAACATATGTCATCACGATATGCCTGCTGTTTATCATATTTGTTGATAAGTATTTGATGGTTCAACAATTATCTATTATGATGTTGAACTGTTACAGTACCGTACACATTAACTGTGTTATGATAATTATCTGCTTTTGGAATACGCAGTTGGATCTGCAATGAAATTATAAAAAACAAACAAAACAATTCTTGTTTTATTATAACCTTTAAAATTCTGTAGCATGTGGTTACTATAAATTTCAATGTGATGGTGGACATTGTATACACCCGAATCAAGTTTGCGACTTCATAACAGACTGTTCGGACGGTACGGATGAAATCTGCGGTAGGAGAATCCAATTCAGTGATAAACATTATATAGTATTTATGCTATAAACATTGTTGATATGTATCCAACCCAAAAACGAGCATTGTTGACACGATTAAAAGTTTAAAACATATTTTAGTAAGGCATATGGGGGTTGACTTAAAGTAATTTGCCCCTTACTTCAATGGGTTCAAGTTCAGGGAAGTCGGTGTTTCTACTCAGGTACCCGCTTGTTCCTGAATAAATGAAAGGGCACTTGAGCTGCAACTCCCCTTTTAAAACTAAAATTGTTACGACTCGTACTGAAATCCCAATCAATCAATATAAACGTATGTGAACATTGCATGTTCAGATGGCTTCCGAAAGATTCGCAAAAATTCGAAAAATGTTTGCTTATACCCTTATCGTACTGGGCTGCAAATTTGAGCGACGTGCTTGCGAACTGCATTCGCGAGATAGTTAAAAAATGTCTTATAAGCTCTTAATTTCGTCGCACGAGTCGCATGCCGCTCAAGCTAAAAGGGTTATATGCAGATTATAACCTTATGTCTTGAGTCTTTACTGTTAGTGCCTGTAACGATAGTACGCAGTGGCGGTTTTAAAGGCCGACGTCTATATCAGTGCTACCCCAACCTATCATATTGTCTCGGGTTAATGGACATTTAGGTGTTCATTGACCACTGTACATAGTCTCTACTCTCTGCGCAACATGTATCTGTTTGACTTATACTCTGTGGAAATTGTACGGAGTACTTCAAAATATCCCTTTAAAGGGAAGACTGGTGACATCCACTCCCCCCACAGTAAGAAAAGGACATTATTGTTTGCGCGACCGCAAGCACTCGACAAAAAGTGATGATTAGTCAAATTTTAACATTTGCAGCAAATAATTTCCGTACATCAACCGTTCGTTAATTTCAGCTATTCTTGTAAGATTTTTTCAAACATGTGTCTGTCAAATCACGCCAAAATAACAACTGAGTCCAAATTTATTTTGCTTGCACTTTAACCTGACTGGGTAACATGTTTATTTTTCATTTCTGAACATTGAAATGATTGTTTTATAAACACTTACAGATTACCGCATGTGCAATATCAGTGAATTTCGTTGTAAAAATGGACAATGTATTCCAGCAGGCAATCATTGTAACGCTGTATATGACTGCGTTGATAATAGCGATGAAATAAACTGTGGTTTGTATATGACTTTGTAGTACAGTATCAATTGAAAACTAAGTTTTTTTTAAATAATGGTTTGTACCTGTGCACGTCAGAGCTCTGAAGTATAATTCTAATATGATTTCTAAAATATGTAAAAAGCTGTATTAAATGCATTTATGTTGGCGGTTTGAAAAAAATGTGCAGACCGACCGAGAATCGAACTCAAGACACTTGGAATACCGTTCCGCACCCCTACTGGCTGAGCTATCCGGCGTCTTCCACATCTTTTCCCCTTAATAGTGAACACTTCTGAACCATGGCATACTGTCCTGCTATAATGAAATTCATCCTCGAATTTATAAGGGGTGCAGAGAACATTGTGAAACCGGGACCCTTGGAATTACGTACTGTGGCTCTACCGACTGAGCTATCCGGTCGTTTACACATCTTTTTCCCTGTATAAACCCTGACATTTATTAATACTTTTATCGTTTGTAATTATAACGAAATGGAATATGGATCTCGTTATTGAGATAAGCCGTACTATCACGCAGCAAAAACAAATATATGCATAAATTGTACTTTTATTTAAGTTTACATATATTATCCGTTATAGAAGTAATGAACCTCTTGCCAGTGAATTTTCACAGGCTTGAAGAAAATTGGACAAACAAAGTCAAAACAAGTTAAAGAAAACTGACAAAAACATATATATTGACGTCTATGCCATTTTCGTGAAAATTAATGACACTTTCTGGTGAAATGTATATTGAAATGAAATTCGTCCTATATAACAGCTCGTGTAATTGGCAATGTAAAATGACCTCATGGTTACTTAATCGCTCTGCTTGGGGTTTTTTCTTCTTGATTTCAAGCAGGTGTTGGAATTAAACGTGTATAATTTTTATATATAACAATGATATAGATAATAATTTGTCATTTTTAAACTATGTCTCAATATATTCAATGAAAACGTTTTTTTTTTTTTTTTTTTTTTTGCTATTGCATATATTAGAAATAAATGTCTAAGATTTTGTATCTTATACTTCCAGACTCCTGCCAAAATTCATTTCTCTGTGTTGATGATTACAAATGTATTCCTGATCGACTGACGTGTGATAATTTCCCTGACTGTAGGGATAATAGTGATGAACAGAATTGCGTAGGTTTAATTCCAACGACCGATGACTTCAATACTGAATACCGATCAGTGAAACTCTCTGACCGTAAGTACATGTCTTTAACAATTCTTATCAATATCAATATTTTAATAAGGTCTTTATAGAGTGTAGGAAATATAAATTTTAATTAACGGTGAGAATTAAATTTTAAATCAGTATCAACATGCTTGTAGTTTTGTTGCATTTTGAAGCTTCCTTTATCTAAAACAAATTATTCTTTTAAATGTCTCTTATAGGATTTAAAAATTATGTGTTGAAAATGAGCAAGAAATATTTTAATTTGCGTTTTAATGTTTTGAATCATGTGTACTTATTAAGTTGTGGAAGACCATTACTCATCTCTCTGTGTGACTACTTTAATATTTATGCAACAAAATAACAGATTTCGATAACTTGCCTTAGTAGACAAATATGTTAATATAACATTTTATTTCCTCAGAGTCTTGTACATGGGATTTCGTTCAGAAAGGAAACGAATCTTTGAGATTAACGTATTCAAGACAGTGTTTATTTCAATCGGATTCAGCTTATTTTCTTGATGGTTTTAATGAGAGCTTTTCTTGTTTTGTTGAGGTAAGTGCATTAAACGCATGCATCCTTGTGCACATTTTATTTTCAAATGTAGTGTTTTACAAAAACATGTTATTACGAGAGTTGTTCGAAAAGTTTGATTACTCTAGTAAAAATCATTCAATATCTTTGGAATTTGGTGTGTGAGAGTACATTCATTAAAAAATTGAACATACAAGTTTATTTTATACAACACTGAAGACAGTTTAATGCGGCAAAACAATTTATATCAATATGTGCTGCCAATGCTTCAATAAAATGATTTTTATTTATGTCAGGAGATATAAATGGAACAGGTTTTCTTGTTTGCATTTTTTTGTATGTAATAAAGTAATTATCTCATCTCAGGTACGAACAGATTGCAAGTTCAGATTTCGTGAAGCGGCTCTTATTGACAATTACAATAGTGATTTCGCATTTCCGTCCTGTCTTTGCACAATAGGAACATTCCGCAAAGGAAAACCTTTAAAAAAGTATATTTTTCAATAATTTTATATTACCTCAAACATTGTAAACGTATAGAAGTTATTTATACATGTGTTTTTGCTTTTAGTATTTAAATTTTTTTAGAAATTCATCCTTTATTTCGTTTTTCATTTGTTTTATCTTATACAGCTCTTGTCAATTTTAAATGATACTATTTAGTGAAAAGAAATATGACCATTTCTTGTACACAAATTAATAATGCAACTTATTTTTTTAATCACAATTGAATTAGGTTAGTAAGCTGCCATTTTTATTCTCAACTCATAATCTTTAACAGTTTATAAATTCTCATTATATAATTTCTCTTTATGAAAGTATATATCGAATTTAGAAATATTGCTTCCAGATAACATGAATAAATTTGTTTAGAAGACAGTCTGAAACTGAAAAATAACTTACAGACTTTTTAAGTTCGTAAAATGATAAGGCGTTTTTAATATGAAACAAACACATTTTTCGCTCTTTTAATTGATATCCTCCTGATATTTCCTGTTCATATTCTTATTATTCAAAGATAAATATATAGAGGCTATTTTTTGTTTGCGACTGAGCTTTAAAAACAGTATTTTCACGAGTGGCGTAATGTTCACTGTAAGTCGCATTTCTCATGAAATACAATAAGTCTTGGGCTGAAAATAAGTTCGACATTCAACGTGAAATGGCGATGACATTATGATGATATTAATTTTATTCAAATTATATGAATGATCGCTTGTTTAAATAATAAAAACAAACTATTCTAGTAGTAGAAAAAGTCAAATCATTCATCCATATTTCTGTTACTTACGGCGATTTTATATAAGACCTGGTTCTGTGAAATATAAGCGGCAGCCATTTATAAAAGTTGTGTATTTCACAAGATGAAAATAATTGTGTTTGATTCAGAGGGATATCATTTAGATTTGTTAGTCATACATCTTTTAAGAAGAAAGAAAACTTTTTTGAGGATTGTTACAGACAACAGATAAGTGTTGACGGATTCAAAAAGCTGCTGAGGAAATTGGAAAACATGGAAATTTTAAAGGTTGCCTTACGAACGCTGAGTTGTTTTCTTATTCTTCGGTCTGATGTCTGTCATTGCTTTTCAAGTTATAAGGCAGTTATTGATCGTAGGATACTTAAATATGCCCAAATGTCATCAAGATCATTTGCATGTGGACAGAATTGTATTTAAAGACTGTAAAAATGAAACAAAAATTTAGAGACGATATTTAGTGATTGGTAATTTGAATGAATTGAATTAAGTTGTCTTTATTTTATTACTTTTGAAATAACAGTTATTTATCAATTTAAGCTTTGTTTTTCTTCAAACAGCCCTGGTAATGTCAGAATCTTCAACAATAATAAAATTGAGGTACAGCATGGGGAAAATCTTTAAAAAATTGTCTCATCATTGAAAAGTGAGAAATTATATTTTGATAATTTTCACTGTGAAATTATCAAATATAATTTTCACGGATAAATCAGTAATCAACTGAAGAGCACAAAATAAATATAAAATACGAAATCAATACTATTTCTTTGGCAGTAATACTTAAAATGCAATGTTTTTCAACAAATGAACGGTTTTTTTTCTATATAAGAAATGTCTCATGATAGGAACATTGTTATTGTTATGTGTTATTTTTATACCGCCTCCGTGGTCGAGGGGGAGTCCATGACTTCTAACCTAGTTACCTCTCGGGCGTGGGTTCAATCCCCGGGGGATGCTTGGTAGTTTAGCGCGGAGGAAGGTAGTCTAGTAATGGTGTAACTCTTCAGGAACGATGGTTAGGAAACTTCACGCCTATATGACTGTAATACTGTTTGGAAAAGGCGTAAAATAAAACAAACAAAAAAACAATGTGTTATTCTTAAATTGTTGCTGTAACATTCAAATTTTCAGATATGATTACGCTTATCATGAGCTCGATATTGACTCGGTAACCGGATGCGATGGAAGTGATTACGCAGAATTACTTGTTCCTGATGAAAGTAATGTTTATAATAATATACAGAACACTGGTGATTTAGCGACGTTTATTTGGCCAAAGGTTTTTTCAGACATGGACATGACGGTTGGGCTCCCTTATTGCACTTACGGTATGGGTGACTTATAAATAATGAACACACTTGTAATAATGCTTTCCAAAATGTTTATTCCTTTTTTGTTTTCCTTGACATTGTGATTTGCAAACACAAGTTCTAACTTAAAGTAATTTACCCGTTATATCTGAAATAATAACTTAACTCGTTGTCCATTTGGATGATTGATAAACAGAATCACGCTTGTGCTTCAATCAATTTATAATCAACGTCATATCGTTTTATACTATTTTTTTGTTATCCACATGCAACTATATTATACCATATAACCAAAGCTGCAATAAAAAAGTTCGCTTAGCTCAATAGGTAGTGCCCTTTACTTTAAGTCGATTTTATCTAGAACAAGGGGCACTGTACCTCTATGACATATGAGATGTTCTTTTAACTTTTTTAATAATATTTCTACATCAATAAATTGCATACAGTTAACTATTCGTTTTGATTTCGTTTTTACTATTTAACATAAATTTTGGATTTATTTTATTTAAGATTACAGTGCAAGCGTGTTTGGTGATTGGTTTAAATGTGAAAGAGATAACAAAATCATACCAGAGTCGATGGTCTGTATTTATTCCGTAGATGCAAACGGTTACATGACTGGATGTAGATCTGGGGACCATTTACAAGATTGTGGTAATTCAAAAAAAATATCAAATCTAGTTGCCATAATTATTATTCTATTTTTTTTTAAAAAGATGAAAACGTTGACGGTGATATTAAAAATAAAATGCTAAATCATAATTAAAACTGAAAACGGATTTTAAGTTTTAAAGAGTGTTACAAAATCAAATAAATGATTGAAACATTATTTTATTATTGCATGAGCATATTGTGAAAAATGGCTGTTTTCAATGAAAAACCTCCTGTTACAGGTTCAAGCTGCTATTAAACATTGAAAATTGTTTTAATTCTGATCAAACAAACTTACATATGTTGACTGGATCATAGCCTTCGTAACAGCATGCTTAATCTTTCTTATTACCATGGCAATTGGGGGAGGGGGGACATCTAAACATTGTCAAAAATCACGTTTTTACGTTGAACTTTCCATCTTTACTGATTTCAAAGTTCTGCAAATTTCTCAATAGTTATACAATGCAGACAGAGTGAGAGGCCTTGTAGCGTTTGTTACACATTAGGATAAGATCGACCTTTTTAGCCTCTCATAAGTCCAAAACATTCTTGGCGATTAAGGGTGCTACTGACCCCTGTCAACCCCCAAGCAGATTGTAGAAGGAAGCACATACCCTTCTAGTACCCCCTTGATGAACTTTTCTGTACGAAATCTGCTGTGGTCATAGTATTATTTTTACAATAGGTTTATCTCTTAGATTTGGTTTGCTAAATTGCTAATCATGGTCATGCAACTACATAGTTAGGTGAAGAAGCAGGCGCTTGTTTTGGTTGAGTCTATTATGTTTTGTTTAGGGGGTTGAGTTGTCATACACAAATTTACAATTTATATGCATTTTTTGTTCAATGATTGTTATTATCTTAAATGCTTCTGGGATTGTTGTTTTATCAATTCATTTGTAAATAAGATTGTTATATGTCTATTAACGGAATAATTTTAATGAACACGAAATTAGTTCACACCTACATGTGTATTGGTAACGTGATGGTTTTAGCCAATGAAAACACGTCAATATTATTATACTCAGGCAGAGTAAAAGTGTGCAAAGAGTAAATCGATAATCTTTATGTAGCCAGCAAACTTTGAATTGCAAGTATTTTTTCATATCTTTTCGGCAGGATAAACTGTCCGATGATTTGTATCGTAAAATGGCTGCCATTTACAGTATCAAGTAATTATCCCAAGCACCACCGCGACTTAGCGCGTGAATTTTTATTATAGCTAACCTCGGCGCGTATACCTTTTTCATATTTTATTGTAATAAATATTTACAAACTGTGTCTTTCGGTTTTTTTTATCAATATATAACCAATAATGATGTTGATATGAATAAATAATCATATCTCAAATCTTTGACTATGATTTACAATGAAATTCTACCTTAAGTGTATTAAAAAGGTTTTTAATTTCCTGTAATTTTATTTTGTGATTATGCTTCAAAGCAGTCAATTGACCGTGAATTTTCTTTTCATATTTCGATTTTCTTGAAATCGTTTTTCTCATCTGAAGTCATGCACTTTTAATATGGTGATACTTTAATTACATTCCATGAAAATGTTTAAAGATATAAAATATCTCATGACATGTTTGTTCATTTTACATTACACCTTTAATTCAGCAAACATAAAGTCTTCACAAAAAGTAGTATGCAATCGTACCTATATTACATACGAATGTATGTAATATTTTTCTTGTTTATAGGGGAGGCGCCGAAAAAGTTATCACGTTTTTAAACGTTTTTTTACAACATTTCCCAAAACGAAAACAAGAGTTTGGGTCTAAATATGACCTTTTTGAGGCCTTAAATGGAGTAGTGAAAAACCGTCAAAATAATCTTTATGAGGTTAAAGGATAAGAATTTACAAAATTATATAAATATTATCAATGTATGGCCTGAAATAATCTTCCATCTTGAAAAGTCTATACAGTAACGGAAAAACGCGAAACTAAAACACGTTCCCTACGATGGCACTGCGAGCATTTATTTTTACATTCAGGTGTGTTCTTGACAGCGTGATATATGGGCTATATCTGAAACTTGGTTAATAGGAACATATGTCGTGGCTTTCTTAAAGCGTTTTCGACGGGCTTAAAAGTACCATTTCAAATCCTACTTTTATTCGTTTCATTCCAGTGTATTTCTCAGGAAGTCGTTCACGTGTTCAAATTTTGATCTCATTTCTAGTATTTCACAACTCAGAAATAATACAATAATCAAAATTTTGACTCATGACCCATTGTGGTCAACGGGTAAAATATCACCTGTCCCGCACACCATTCCCTGCACCCCTTGGAATATGTAATATCCCTTGTCTAATTTTTGCGACCTCTTCTTTTAAAAAAATCCTCCCCGATTCTTGCGTTAGCATAAGCGTGCTTTGACGCTATAGTAGTGTAAAACGCAAAAAATAACGTCACGTTAAGGTGTTATTAGAGTAGGGTATTTATCGTTGGACGTATACAATGGCTTTATTACACTCCTGTTTCGTGGTTTATGTGATTGATATCATTATTATTCTATCCATTATTTTCTATTTGTAAGTTATGCAGTCATCGGAATTTTGTATTTTTATAGTTAATTCAACCTAATTGTTACACATTTCCTTTATGGTGTCTTTAGGAAAGCGTACTAAGCATTATTAATAGCAAACTTTCAGCCCTCCTCTGGTTCTTTAAAATGACCGGCAAATTACCTTCTATATTTAGATTTGTGTTGGATAGCCAAAACTCCTTTTTAATATTAAGGTATAAACAATGATTGAAATGTGCAGTATTATCATGTATCACAACTTTTATAGTCTAAAAACAATATGTCCTGTTATCATTTTACAGGTAAAAAAAGATAGTGAAAAATGTTACGTCATCAAGAACTATAATAAATTGCATGACCAAATGTAATTGCTTGAAATTTCAAAATTATGTTTTCAGAAAAATTCCTTTGCCCTGAAAATACAGTCAAATGTCCAGGCAGTTACTGCATTGAACAGAGATTTCTCTGTGATGGACATATTGAATGTCCTGGAGGAGAAGACGAACAAGATTGTAGTAAGTGATCAAGATTTGTAATTACAGTAGAAACCCTTAATTAAGACCACCATTGGGACTGGGCCAAAGTGGTCTTAATTGCGGGGTGGTCTTAATTCTGAATATCCTTATCGATGCTTACACACTTTTTTAAAGCCGATTAAAACTTGTAGGAGGGGAATTGTCCGGGTTGATAAAAGAACGGGAGGGGAATTGTCCGCCGTAAAAAAATAACGGGAGGGGAAATGTCCGGGTTGTGAAAAAACATTTAAATTTACTGGGAGGGGGATCGTCCGGGAGGGGAATTGTCCGGATTCCCTTTTTTGACCATGGTCTATTTTAGTCATCTTTAAGAACAAACAATATATATACCAGCAAATGCAACATAAAACTATGTTATAAATTATCATCTGATGGAAAGAAAGAAATATCAAATTGCATTTTGTCTGATTTCAATATCAATTTCAATATATTAATTATTATATGATGTACATAATTCAACCCTCAAATAAAAAAATAAGTTCTTCGCATAATCAATGTGCTTAAAGTAAGATTAAACCACTCTAAAATTTACTTTCTCACCTTATTTCATACAATATCCCAATGATATAAGGTGTTTTTGACACCTTGTCAAATTAGGTGTCATGCCTTAGAGCACTCAAGCTGATAATAACAGCAATTTTTAGATCTAGATAGGTGTTAACTTTTAATCAGTGGTCTCAATACTGGGGTCAAATAAAGAACAAAACAAAGAATTGGGACTGAATCTTGTGGTCTTAAAAGTGGATAAGCGAGTGGTCTTAATTCTGGATCATGAAACCATTGACATAAAGAACAGAAAATTCCGTACTTTTAAAAAATGGTCTCAATAGCGAGGTGGTCTTAATTCCGGGGTGGTCTTAAGAAGGGATTCTACTGTACTTAATTCAAAACCATTTTTTATTGTGTCTGTTAAATAGCTTTTTCTTAATAATTTCGGACGTATAATGTTTTACCCCTGGTTGTCCGTTCCTTAGCAATTTGGTATCCGCTCTGTATTGTCTAACGTATTAAGGAAATGGAAACTACTTTGCAAGACTGTTGATAGTAATGATAAGACGTTCAGAAAACCGGAGTAATGATAAGACGTTCAGAAAACCGGTGTTGAGGCTTCCTCAGAATAATTATGTTAACTGTTACGTTCACATATTGCCATTCATCCTTCAAAATTTCTATCTATATATGTTTCAAAGAAAGGTTACTCTGTTCTTACCGTTAATGTAACTATGTATTTTCATTGACAATATTATCTGTGTTTTAAAAAGACTTTTCCTGTTTATAAGATGAAAACGTTCCTATGAAAACTATCTACTTGTATATTTATGATTATCTTTAAATTTCTCGGAAACTTTTTATTATAACTAAATGTAATAAGTGTCGTAGTATTACATTTAGTAAAAAATTACAGGAACAAAATCCAGTGTGGCAATTTGTAATAAAATGATTTTATTAAAACATTTACCAAACTTTTGTTTAAAAATATCATGTACATGGATGGAAGTCCAATATATTCTTACACAAAATATAGGGGAATTAGATATCATAGTTCTTTGAAAACAGCACACAAATGTATCCTGTCACAATGGTCTACCCGGTGAGCGTCATTTCTGATTTCAAAACGTTGCTGATATCTTGGCGGCCTTAAGTGGATAAACATTTTCCGTTTAAATTTATCTCAAACTAATGCCTTTTGCAATTTATAGGACGTCGATGGCAATAAACAAATAATTGAAAAATGACTTCAAACAATAATTGTTCATAAAGTGCTACAATCCTGTTGGTAGCTGCAGGTAGTTCCTTAAGTATACGGACCTGTTTTCCCTCGTCATTGTTCCTATTTATGATTTTATATGTTGATTATAGCACACAGAGATAAAGTTTTCCAAGTTCACTTATAATGTTATATCGCAGAGTTAAAAAAAACTTTAAACTAAGTTTCTTATGATTAATTCTTGGTATCTAATAGTTGATATAATTATGCTTACCTTTTAAAATCGGTACAGTCACGTTGTTTTTATTTGATAGGTTTTTGATGATTTACACATTTGAATATGTTATCAGCTCAAAATATTCTTAATACAAAAGATACACTTACAAAATAGTTAAATGTTGTTATGCTCCACAACGTTGAAGAACGAATGTGCTCATTTGTATGCCTGTCCGTCATATATATTCACTTACACACAGTTAAATGGCCCTCTTAATCTCTAAGAGTCTCATTGTATTCTCCACATTATGAAAACAAATATTTTGGTCCTTAATTTGTTCGGCGTAGCTGTATGAAAAATTGTCTTTTTACCTTAATTTGTAACCAATGAAATTGTATGTTACAGTCCGTCTGCTTAATTTATACAATCTCAAAAGGCCTTTAGGGAAAACTGAAAACATATGGCTTGTGCACTTACTATGCCGTAGAGAAATATAACACAATTCCTATATTGTTGCTTTTAAACCTTTACTTTTAAATGACTTTTTCGGAGGCACATAAGGGTAACAGGGGACACATAATTCTTATTTTTTAGAAATACATTTTGTTTTATCTTATTTCAAGTTTGTTATTACTCATGCTTTGACCGCTTTTACCCCTCTACAATTTTTGACAACCCAGCATCAACTCAAAAAATCAATTTAACACGTAATTACATTATTTTTTCCCCAAAATGCTCGAACCCAGATTTATTAATGGGCTGACTGTCAATAAGGACAACCTTTGTAATTCTACAAAAATATATAAATTAATGTTATGTAATTAATAAGTGATCCGTTCAAGTATATTAAAAAATCCAAAATTAGAACTACTGGTCTTGAGATCATAAATCATTAATATTTATTACCTTTTATTTCATAATTTGGAATAAGTCTAAATTTATGAGGCATCTTAAATAATACTGACTTCACGCCAATCGTTTTGTTCAAAGATATTTCTTGTTTAATTTGATTTTTTTTATTTCTTTTTTTAGCTTGTACTGAATCGAATAGAGAAGTTATCTTATTTGTGGAAGATGGAGATCCTGAGAGCTCGGAAACAGCAGTACATTTAGCTAAACAATTTTTTACAAACGCTAAGGATAGTCTTGTGAGATTATTTTATTTTAGGAGTCTGAATATATCAGTGGCGTTTGACATTACATATAGGTTGTTGGAAATACGAGAAGAAAGTGTAAATCAATTACGAAAAACTGAATGCAAGTATACAACAATGGCAAGAGACTTTCTGAAAAGGCTGCGCTTTACAAAATCAGAAAAAAGAGGTCTTATTGTGCTTGAGAATAGTAAAGAATCAGCAGTTGTTTCCAGCTTAGCATTGTCCAATCTCTCACAGCCAGAGTTTTCAGTGTATCGGGTTATAAAAGATTTCAGTTCCTCCCTTGATGAGGATGATAAATACGAATTTGTAAAAGATATTCATATCAGTAAATGGAAGTCTTTGTTTTGGACTGGATTCAGGAGATTTCCAGAAATATGTACAGGTGAGTGAAAGAGATATAATATTCTTCAAGTTAGTAGTAAATACATTTAGACCCACCTGCAGTTGGCAAAAAAACTATATTGGATGTATACTTATTTAACTGTGGACATACGAAGAAAATGGCGAGAATAATTAAAGCAAATAATGTATGTCTCCTTTAAGGGGCACAATAAGGAACTAACAATTGATAGCATAAGTTAGGTTTATACTTTTAAGGTAACCTGTATGCAACATTTGCTTACGGTTTACAAGTTATAGCGACTTCTATGAATAACGTTTGGGTATTAGAAATACTCTTTTTCAGAAATGACAAATCTTTGTATAATCTATAATATCATCCTCAAGATAAATGTTTTTTCTATTGATTATTGTTGTTTAAAAAATAATAGCATTCAGCTAACAAATCACACAAGCTAAATGATTGTTTCATTACTGAATGATATTCATAAATAGTTTACCCTACGCAAACCGTTTTTAACACTTGTTTGACATTTTCCCAAGTTCGAGAGTCTCTTTTAAAGTATATTTGTTATTTTGCCTACCTTCGGAGAAGTGTGAGGGATATTGTTTTGCTATTGTCGGTCTATCGGTCCGTTTATCGGTCTGTCTGTCGGTCTATCCATCGGTAGACCACATGATTTCCACTGATTAAAATAAAAACTACTTTTCACAAAGTATTCATATTTCACATACTTATTGTGCATAACTAGTAGATAACCCCTTTTGTTTTGTGGTCACTTAGTCAAAGGTCAAGGTCACCGGGCCCTTAAAGGTCAGAATATTTTTTCTCATTATCTTGAAAACTATTTATTACAAAGTCTTTATATTTATATTTCACATACTTATTGGTCATATCTAGTAAAAGATCACTATTTTTACGATTTTAAGGTCACTAGGTCAAAGGTCAAGGTCACAAGGGTTTTAAATGGCAGAATGGTTTCTGCTCATAATTTGAAACTATTTATCACAAAGTCTTCATACTTCATGTACTGATTTGACATGACTAGTAAATGGCTAATATTTCATTTGGGGTTACTATCACAAAATTAAAAGGTCACAGGGACCTTAAATGTCGTACTGATTTCTGCTCTTTATTTTGAAAACCATTTATCACAAGGTTTTCACTCATTATCTCAAAAGCTATTTACCACAAAGTCTTCATATTTCAAATAGTGATTGGACATAACTAGTACATGATCCCTATTGATTTTGGGGTCACTTGATCAAAGGCCATGGTCACAGGGGCTTGAAATGTCAGAATCGTTTCAGCTTATTATTTTGAAAAGTATCACAAAGTCTTCATATTTCACATACCGATTCGTCCTTACTAGATGTTGACCGCTATTGATATTGGAGAAAGTAAGACAAAGGTCTAGTTACTGTCAGAATTGTTTCAGCTCATTATCTTAAAAACAAAATCTCATATATCACATATTGATTGGACATAACTAGTAGATGACTTCTACTGATTTTCGGTAAACTAGGTCAAAGGACAAGGTCACAGGGCTTTAGATTTTAGATGGTTTCCACTCATTATCTTGAAAACCATTTACCAAAAAGTCTTCGTATTTCACAAGTTCAAGGTCACAAGGTTCCGCTTATTATCTTTAAAACTATTTATAAAAAAAAAATCATATTTCATATACTGAGCGGTCATATGAAGTGGATGACGTCTATTGATTTTGAAGTAGCTAGGACAAAGGTCAAGGTCACAGAGGCCCTTTAATAGTTTTTTTTTCCGCTCTTTTGTTTTTAAAAGTTTCATATTTTAAACATAGTTTTGGGTCTTTGACAAATAGAGGCCCCCCTTTTTATTTTTTTTTCCGATATAAAAGGGTTTCCATGGCCACGGAAACCCTTTAATGTCGGGAATGGTTTCCGTTTATAACTTTTAAAAAACATTTTTACAAAGTCTTCATTTATTTCACATTTATGATTTGGTTATAACTAGTAGATGACCCCTATTGAACTTTGGATAATTTCATTGTCATGAAAACCATTTGTCACAAAGTCTTCATATTTCACATATTGAATATGCATATGTTGTCGATTACTCCAATAGATTTTGGTATCCTTAGTTCAAAGGTCAAGGCCACAGCGTCCCTAAATTCGCTAATTACGTGGAAAACTTTACCAGAGTCGTCATATTTAAGTATTGATTAGTCTTAATGGGGTCACTAGTTCAAAGGTCAATGTCTTTATATTTCAAATATTGATTGGTCATTATTTTTTATTTTTTCCATGATAACTGAACACTTCCATGTACCCATTAATGGCAAATTTCTTTATCAAAATTATCGATATTATGAGTCAATGGCTAGAAAGTGGCCATATGTTTCGTTGGACATTTTTTGTTTAACTTAAATATTTTTAGATTTATTTATTAAATTAGCCACCAAATAACAACTATAATTATAAAATTAAAATTTAACACTTTTTTCTGTCCAAAGGCTTTTTTGAGACTATATAACTAACGTTAATCAAAACACTATTGACCCTTATTATACGAAACCCCTAGTTTCAATGCAGTTGAACGTAATTCTAGCATTTTGAATACTTTTCAAACCGATATATTGTATTGGGATGGTTATATCTTAAGATAAAATTTTGTTGACCATATAAATACATTTATATAAAGTTTATATTTTTCTGTAAAATATTCGTCATCTGTGTTCTTTTTAGAGGCTTCATACGTTCCATGTGCTGGGAAGTTCAGATGTTCTTCAAGTAAACAATGCATACCAATTGAACAAGTGTGTGACAACGTGGTGCATTGTAGAAATGGTGACGATGAAAGACTGTGTAACTCTGTGTGTCCTAAGAAATGTAATTGTGTTGGTGACTTAATTAATTGTAGAGCGGCCAACATTTCTCTGTCAGATTTATCATTTTACTGGCAAAATACGTCAAACGTGTTGATCTAAGTAAAAAACCCAACAATTAAAGACATTACACGAAAACCATTTAAAATTTTATTTTATGTTACGTTTAAATATTTCGTCGTGTGACATTTATCATATTGACAACAAAACTTTCTCTAACTTAAAAAATTTGGTGTTGTTAGATTTAAGTAACAATAGAATACAACAGGTACCAGTTGTGTTTAGCAAGCTTCGTTATCTTAACATTTCATCCTGTGACATTCGTCACCTTGATAAAAAATATTTCGTAAATTTACAATATCTGTTTTCGTTGGATCTTAGTGGCAACAAAATACGACAATTACCTGATATGGTTTTTGACATGCTCCGTCATCTTACCCACTTGAATCTTGATAGGAACTATGAATTGACAGAGATTTCATCGACAGCTTTTACAGGCTTAAAATCAGTAAACAACATAAAAATAACAGGCACAAGCTTAAAAAGGATAAGCTCCCATACATTTTCAGACTTAAATCTGAACAGTATAGATATTTCTTACAACAAAATTGAAGAGATTGAAGATGATGCCTTCAACAATTCCCAAGTACGTAAAATCAATTTTGAAGGAAATAATGTGATAAAGTTTGGAACACAAATTTTTAACGGCATAACATTTCTTCGAGAGCTTCATACACCTGCATTTAAATTCTGCTGTATCCGCCCTTGTTATGTCCCTGAAGAAGATTGCAGACCTTTAAAGAATGAGTTTTCTTCATGTGATGACCTGATAAGAAACTCTGTACTTCAAGCAGTTCTTTGGATAGTTGGAATAGCTTCATTATGCGGAAATCTATCTTCAATCATCTACCGTCTTGTCTATGATCGCAAAAGGCTAAAGATAGGTTATGGCATATTTGTCACTAACCTTGCAGTTGCAGATTTCCTGATGGGTGTGTATCTGATAATAATAGCAGTTGCTGATTCATTCTATAGAAACAGGTAATTATTTCTGCATGAAATCTACATTTTATAACTGATTCTGAACTACTTATTTCTACAGTAACAAGTACGTCATTGTTATTGATTCACTCAAAAATATGGGTCATTGGTTTCTTCAAATTTTCTCTTAAAACAAAACAGGTACTGACTTTTACAGCAATTTGTACACAATTCCAGATACTGTTTCCTATGAATCTTTTCCGCAATGCATATTTCTTATTTTCTTTTTAAAAAAATGATCAGCAACAGATATTAATATCGATATGAAGTCTACAAAAATACTACCTACATATGACAGTATACATGTTTGATAGTTTCAGATAAACTTGTCCTACGCAAATTTACCGAAAACTGATATACCATAAAGTATTTTTGTAGCGCGAATTTACTATTATATAGAATAAATTGTCTTGATATGTCACTTGCTATCCAGCTAGCTTACGGAACGTCGGTGGTTCTACTCAGGTGCCCGTTCGTGCCTGAAATAATGCACGGAGGGCACCTGAGGTCTTCCTCCACCAGTAAAGCTGGAACGTCGCGATATGACCTATACTGTGTCGATGTGACGTAAAACCCAAAACAAACAAAAGTTCTTTTTGTTTTGAAAGTATTTATGATATAATTATTATCGATGATTTTTTTATATAAGTAAGATTGGCATCGATCTTTATTAACTCGCCATGTTAAAAAGAAATATAATTATGTTTACGAATGAATTCAGATAATTAAATTCAGATAAAGCAACACATCATTACAAACAAATAAGATTTACTCCTTAAACTAAAACTATCGTTCAATTTATTTTCAGATACACTTTTGTTGATGATTATTGGAGAAACAGTAATTGGTGTGTTACCGCAGGAATTCTGTCTACAGTTTCGTCTGAAGCCAGCGTTTTCTTTCTTTGCTTCATAACCTTAGACAGACTATTAGTGATCAAGTTTCCATTTGGCACAGTGAGGTTTAGACCTACAAAGGCTTATATCTGCTGCGGAATATGCTGGTTTATTTCTATAACCCTGTCGATCATTCCAATTCTTTACACAAGTCACTTCAAAAGCCAATTCTACTCTAAAACCGGAGTATGCATTGCACTGCCTTTGACGCGAGATAAACCTCCAGGATGGATGTATTCCGTGTCAATTTTCGTTGGTTTAAATTTCTGCACTTTTATTCTTGTCGCTGTAGGACAGTTAGCCATATTCAAAAGAACTTCGACGGGCGTCAGTTATGAAGAAGACACAACAATCAAGAAAACGTGATTTGAAAGTTGCTAGGAATCTTATTCTCGTTGCAACAACTGACTTTTTATGTTGGTTTCCGATAGGGGTCATGGGTAAGGTCTCATATAAGCCATAAATTGGAATGAACATTCATTTTCAAAGTCTCCTTTGCGATTAATGAATTAAACCTTATACAGTAGGGTGATCGTTTCAGTTGTCAACAATAGCGTTTTTCGTGCGTCCGTTTTTCGTGTAACGTGCGTGCGTATATCGTGCAACATGCGTTTGCTGAAACGCTTTCTCAAGCGTGCATCGTTTACAAGCGTTTAACGTTTATCGTTTTTCGTGTATATTTTTTCGTTCATCGTGAGTTTGAAAGCGTGCGTTTGATAATCCCAGAAACGTTTATTGGGCGTCTGCGTTCGTCTAAACGTTTAAGTACCGTGTTTTGTGTCTGTCACTATTCAGAACTTAAAAAATATCTTAAACAGTTCTGTTTAGTAAATTTCGGGTTTCTTAAGGATGTTCAGTGTCTCTTTCTAAGAATAAAAATTTTTATGTACAGTAGAGAAATATTATTAATTGTGATATTTTCATTTTTAGAAGTTTGTGACCTCATGGTGAATACCGGATTTCGACGTGATTTTCGCCGAAGTTTAGTTTAATTCGTTGTTCAATATACGCATAGGATTTAATCACTATTTAATTGCAACATGTTTGATATTCAATTCAGCAAATAGGTGTCTATATGCGTACCAATATATCCGATATCAGGTTCATCAGACATTATATGGTGGTAATCAGACTAGTCCGCCCCCTCCCTCTTTACCAGTTCATCTTCTGAGATTTTTACACAGACTGTCCAAATCCTATTTAGGGTGATATTAAATTTAGACAATTCCTTACCATTTTCATATTTCTTTTTCTTATTTACAGATTTTTATTGATATGTTACAGCCTGGCGTGGACTCGAACCCTGACACTCGGAATACATGTACATTTGCCATTCCGCGGCTCTTCCCGCTGAGGTATTCGGCCGCTAACACTTTATTCCCCTAAATACTGAATAGCTCTAAACCGTATAATACTTCCCTGCTATATAAGCAAATATTTTCTTGAATTTCCCAGGGTTACAAAGCAATGTGAATTAAACTCTGTGCCATATGTCAGTCAAACGGACCCGAACTCGTCAACCTCAGATTACCGTACAGCGTCTCTACCGACTGAGCTGTCCGGCCGCTTACACCTTTTATGTGCTTAAAAGTGAACACCTCTTACCCATGACAGATACGGTTAGATAGCTTTTAAAAAAACAGGTAAATTAATTCTCAATTAACACGCATTGAAAAAAACCCAATATACATGCACACATTCTTTTGACAAAATTTACAATTACAATTATATTACGAGTATTATAATATATATTTTTTTTACTGAAATCGAATGAGACTTTTATTGATAGTTCCATTATTTTTACATGTATAGTTAAAACTTAACTTATACATTGTACCATTTCTATATTTTTGTACAAATAAACTAGTACATAATTCTACGGTGGCTGATTTGTGCCATGTTGTACTTTTGCTTTGGTAGGCACCAGACGAAAACTCAAAAATACGACTAAATAGTTTGGTTGTATTTTTGCCCGGCGCCCATGGCACTTTGTTGTGTTTCTATGTCTTCGTAAAAAATAATGATATACATGAATCTAACAAAAATTGATATTTTAAACTGCTCCAATACATCCCATAGAAAGGTTTAAAGTGTCTAATGATTGGTCCAAAGTGTCCAATGTATGGGCCGAAGTGTCCAAATATATGGTTCGAAATGTCCCGAAAACTGTTCTGAAGTGTCCCAAAATCTGGTTTGATGTGTCTGGTAAGAAATGTCTATTGTCTGAAATGTCCCATTACCAACTCAGCCACAATAAAAATTTAGTGAACTTATTCAAGAGCGCAAGGACACCTACTCTATTAAAAGTCTGTAATGGGATTGATTCTGTTCTAGAACTAAATATTGACACCAGTGACCCTCCATAAAATAAATAAGAAATAAATAAATTTATTAAGTAAATCTGTCCCAAAGTTAGACATGTAATCACAACATACAGGCTTAGCCAACCTTAACAATATTCCCATTACTCTATAATAGAAAAAAATATAAGCCAGCTCAGACCTGGTTTAAACTTATAATTTGACTGTCAAATTAAGCCATTAAAGCTCCATTTATACTGTCCCGGTAATGGCCACAATATTGCTACGGTGTCTTAAACCGTTGAACCGGAGCGTTCCGTGGTGTTTTTCTGAAAAATCAAATTGCGTTTACACATCTCCGACAAAGCCCAGGCCAGGTGCATTCCTGTTTTTAGTACCCAATTTAATACCGGCTATATACGGGTAAGTGCTGATGCTAACCCGGTGTATTCCCGGGTGATCCCTTGGAGACCCGTCTACACACGGTTTCATCACCGCCAAACCCGACCATCACTGATTTCACCACGGTTGAGCTACAGGTGATGCCGGTATTGTCCTGGGGACGCCCCGGTAATGCGCCAAGCTTTCCTGTTCAAGTTTATTAAAACTAGAACTCCGCGAGTCGGATGTGTCGCCTTGTGAACAATATAGTATAGGAGAAATGGCTAGGACAAAAATGAAATATGAAAATTAACAAAGGGCAATGTAGAGTACCAGTTCTTAGGCACTGCACTTCTTCTTAATGAGATCTATCATCCTATGAAGTTTCAAGTCCAAAGCTTTTACACATTAGGAGAAATGGCCCGGACAAAAATAAAGTATGAAAATTAACAAAGGGCAATAACTCAAAAATTAAGAAGTGCATAGTACCGGTTCTTGTACACTGCACTTTGGGTCATTATAAGACGCATGCATACCAAGTTTGAAGTCTATCCAACTAATAATGACTGACCTGTGCTCCCGACAAGCTTAAGGGGACGCCGACACGGACGCGTACAACGACGCCGACGCCGACAAAAGTAACCCCAATGTTCCCTTTTTTAAGGCGACACAATAAAACTTTACAAAAAATTTACATCAGTTATTTGGTAAAACAGAGGGAGGGCTGCAAAAGAAAGGAAAGGGGAAGAAAGTTGGGAAAACTGTGCATACAATGCCTACAGAGGTTGAGGGCAGTCAGGAAAGCTCGCCTCAGAAGAAATAGCAATAAATGGCCATTCTTAGTTTTCACTTAACAAAGTTATCCAAAGTAGCACTTCTAGTTCTTTAAATTGCCTGTTATCAGCATAAGGTTTTGACGCCACAGTTCATCACTAAAGCGTACTTATTAACAATCTGAATATCAAAAAAAAGTATTATTGGATGAATCCTGTTGCAGGATCCTTTAGGTTGGACTAATTGAAATCCAATTTCTAAAGTAAATAATACTGAGCCAGTCAACAAATATCCTTATTTCCATTCTTATTTAAATGAATAATAAGAAAGTTTTGTTATATAAGTACTAATAATTTGTTTATAAACAGGTAGAAAGTCTGTCCGAGATAGAAGATAAAGACAATTTTGGTAAACAAATGAGTTGCTTCCCCTTAAAAATTATAGACAAATGGAATTAATTGTTAATTCATGCATGTAACAATGCTTGAGCTCAATGAGTATCTAGTAATCTGATTAATTTAATAACTTAATATTGGGGAGATTGACATATTTCTATGATATTTTTGATTTTTGAAGAAAGCCCTTGCTTCACTGGGCTAGATAGGTTAACAAAATTTATTGATGCCACTCTTTTTTAATCCAGGAGTTCTGCACTTACATGTTGGGCGTTGTGAAAAGGGGCGTATTTTTGAGCTAATAATTCTATTTTTCTGTACTAATTGTAAAGGGGGTAGGAATGTGAGATGGCCTGAGATAGCTTAAAGTTACATTAAATAAATATGTAAAAAATAGTTTGCCGTCGGCCTAAAATCAAACATTCTACAGTTTCATTAACCTGTTTAAAAGTTTGTTGTAAAATCTCATCAAATATTGTTCATAAATTAGGAATTTTAAAAAACGGGAAACCCCACGGTAACACTAAAGTTCATATACGAATTTTAACATGCAAATGAAGACTATAAGAGCTCGTGTATGCGCTACGTCACAGTTTTATAGTTGCTATCCGGAACACAGCAAATGTGATATTTCTTGTGGCAAAACACACAGCTTCACGGTGCATTAAACCTGGGGTTCAGTAAAAGTAATCATCTCGTAAAAAAAATTAAATTGTTTCGAAAACATCCGTTACAAAAA